TAGAGAAAATAACTTTTTTGTTTCAGGTTTATGGTGCAGTACGAGTGTATATCACAGTTAGCCCTGTGCTATACCCCGTTTTCTCTAATATAAGCCCCCAAGACAGGGATAGGAGAATGGTACTTGTATACCATATCCTCTCCATACCTCCATCGAACTGTTCGGTATTATGCCAAATATTATTCATTCTGGAGTATTTAACAGGTTTCATGTTATTTATATTGTTTATTGTATATTAGATCATTTGTGTTAGGCAAATAAGCTGTAGTGTTGATATTAGCGTAATAATAAAGCATATTCTCCTGCTTCATGAGACTGAGCTCATGGCAACCGACAGTTTGTTATATAGTCTAAGTAGTTTGTTTAGAAATATGTGTATCCAATCATCGATATCATTAGCATTGGAGAATTCTTTAGGCCGAAATAAATTGTAACATACTCTTTGCATGCCACATTGTATCTGTGGATTTAGAAAAGCCATATTGATAGGATAGTGGGACAATGTGGCAGAAGTTGCAAGTATATGGAATAGGTGGTTGGTTACTTAAAACAGGTAAGAGTTTTTATGAGGATAGTGAGGCTCTGGTTAGGGTGTATAGGAGAATGAGAAGATATTTTACAGTAAAATACACCATAGATAGGGATGCACGATGTCACCATGATTGTTTAACACATTTATAGATGGGGTTGTAAAAGAAGTGAATTCTAGGTTTCCTATATCCTTTCAAAATCTAGGCTTATCTGATTTGAATCCATTATTGTGGGTTTTCTCTTGTAAATGTGTTCTCTGGTCCTTATTTATATCTCCTTTGTTGGTGCCCATCTTCCACTTATACACTTCAATCACGTCTCCCCTCATTCTTCGTCTTGCAAGAGTGTGTGATTTAAGGGACTTAAATCTTTCTTCATACAGAAGATTTCTTATGCTATGTATTCAAAGCTTCCTCAAAGCTCCAGGAGTGGTATAGAGGGCTGCCTCTAATCAACACAATTGTCATTATTACTGTAGTCAACCCTACTGTCATTATCAACACTACTGTGATTATCAACAATACTGTCAATATTAACACTATTGTCAATATTAACAGTACTGCCATTATTACTTTGTCATCACAACTCTCTCTCTCTTTATAGTGAACACTATTGTCGTTGTTACTATTATCAACATGAGAACTTTCATTGCAAGTATAAGTATAATAAAGCACTTAAATTACTGGAAATGGTTGAAGTCCCTTGATTTGTACTCCCTGAAATGTAGATGAGAAAGGTACATGATAATATACACTTTGAAAATTCTAGAGGGCCTAGTTCCAAATCTGCACACAAAAATCACTCTTTATGAAAGCAGAAGACTCGGCAGGCGATGCAACGCTTCCTTGATGAAAAGCAGGGGTTCCACGAGTGTGCCAAGAGAAAACACAATGAGTGTCAGGAGCCAAAGACTGTTCAACTGCCTCCCAGCATACATAAGGGGGATTACCAATAGACCACTGGCTGTCTTCAAGAAGGTGCTGAACAGGCACCTTAAGTCAGTACCTGACTTTAGGTGGTGTGTATGTCAACTTGTGTATGGCCTGCAGTAACAGCCTGGTTAATCAGGCCCTGATCCACTGTGAGGCCTGGTCACACACTGGACCGCGAGGGCGTTGACCCCCAAAACCCTCTCCAGGTATACTCTCCAGGTAGGGTGTTGAGGAGACGTGCAAGAATAAAAGAAAAAGAATCTAATACAAAGTGGGAATTGTCACAGTTGTTTTCTGCCAATGACACGGTGCTATTGGGAGATTCTGAAAAGAAGTTGCAAAGGTTAGTAGACAAATTTGGGAGGGGTATGCAAAAGAAGGAAATTTAAGATGAACATGGGAAAGAGCAACATAAGAGTAACAAAAAATTAAGGCAATGAAAAATTGGATATTAGATTAGGAGGAGGAAGTATGGAGGAAGTGAATGTATTCATATATTTGGGAGTGGGCTTATCAGCAGATGGGTCTATGGAAGATGAGGTGAACCATAGAATTGAGGGGGAAAATGGAGGGTGGTGCATTGGGGTATCTGTGGAGACAAAGAATGTTATCCATGGAGGCAAAAAAGGGGACTGTATCAGGATAGTGGTACCAACACTCTTATATGGGTGTGAAGCGTGGGTTTTAAATATTGCAGTGAGGAGGAGGCTGTGGACCTGTAGCGTCTGAGGGCAATGTGTGGTCTGAATCTTGTGCAGAAAATTCGTAGTTTGGAGATTAAGAGGTGCGGAGTTATTAAAAGTACAGTGGACCCCCAGTTAACGATATTTTTTCACTCCAGAAGTATGTTCAGGTGCCAGTACTGACCGAATTTGTTCCCATAAGAAATATTGTGAAGTAGATTAGTCCATTTCAGACCCCCAAACATACACGTACAAACGCACTTACATAAATACACTTACATAATTGGTCACATTCGGAGGTAATCGTTATGCGGGGGTCCACTGTGTTATCCAGAGGACTGAGGAGGGATGATGGAGATGTTTGGACATTTAGAGAGAATGGTGCAAAATAGGTTGGTGTATAAATCTGTAGTGGAAGGAAGGAGGGGTAGAGGTTGTCCTCGGAAAGATTGGAGGGAGGGAGTGAAAGGAGTTTTTTTTATGCGAGAGGCTTGGACATACAACAGGCATGTGTAAGCATGTTAGATAGTAATTGGAGACAAGTGGTTTTTTGACTTGATCTTCTGCTGGTACGTGAGCAAGGTACCATTTATGTAGGGATTCAGGGAAACTGGTTAGCAGGAGTCCTGTAGGTTTGAAGTACAGTACCTGTGCTCTGAAGGAGCGGTGGGGATATTGCAGTTTGGAGGGGCATCTGAGCAATAATATCAGTGTGCCTCTGGCAAGACAAAAATTGAGAGTGATTGTGAAAGTGTTTCCTCTTTTTCAGGTCAGGACATTTCCACTTCATCTAACCTAAGCCTCATTGCAATATAGTATCTGAAGATTATAACAGATTAGGGAAATGTGAGATAGTCATCTGATTTGGAAACAACAAAATCCATTGGTTACAGAATTTTCCACATTCTTGTGATTACAGCAATACAGTCTTGTATACATTATTTATTTCATATACATTAGTATCAGTATCATTACTATGTACTATAATCAGATACCTTTCCATTATAATATCTGTTGACTTATTGTTCTTAGCACACACACTTTGACACTACTGCAGTTTTCTTAACAACAAAATTGTAGACCCAACTGTTACAAATCCTTTGAGTACATTCCAGTCTGAGTTTATTCTCATAATACAGTGGAACCTGGACTTACGAGTGTTCCAATGCACGCGTTTTTTGAGATACAAGCCGTCTCTGGGTCGATTTTTTGCTCTGAGTTACGAGCCAACATTTGAGTTACGAGCCAGCTCCCCCCGCTTCCCCCGCTTCACCCTCAACCCAAAACCTGGATACCTCGCTTGTTTATCTATAATTTCATGCTTTAATTCCATGGAAATCATTCTCTTTTTCTTCTCAGCACTGTCCTTTGCACTTACTTTCTTAGGACCCATGCTTAGAAAAACGAAATTTGGCCAAATGACTGTCAAAAAAGTAAGCAAAGCATGAGAGAACTGTTCCCACAGCGAAGTAAACAGTGCAGAGTTGGTGGCGTTCGTTATTATAATAATTATAATAATAATTATTATTATTATTATTATTAGTGTTATTATTATTATTAATTTAGGTAATTAAAGCACAGATCCAATTCCCTAGATCAAGAGCAAGAGCCCCTCACCAGCATCAAGGGTCCTTGATGGTGAGGGGCTCTTGATCTAGGGAATTGCATCTGTGTTCCAGTTCCCTTAATTAATAATAATAATAATTGTTATAATAATGATAGAGGTTCAGTTCCCTAAATTAATAATAATAATACATACGTACGTAATAATACATAATACGTACGTAATAATTCAGAATGCTGCCACTAGTTGGTACAGCTGATGCCAAAACATCCAGTAAGCATTACACATGTTTACATCGCTGTGGGAGCAGTTCACTTAAGCTTGTTTGCATTTTTTTACAGTCATTTGGCCAAATTTCTTTTTCTAACCATGGGTCCTATGAAAATAAGTGCAAAGAACAGTGCTGAGAAGAAAAAGACGATGATTTCCATGGACTTAACCAGGCAATACATCATACAATGCACCCTAACATCCCCCCCCATCAGCATCCCCCCACCCTCAGCATCCTCCACCCTCAACCTCCCCCACCCTCAACCTTCCCCACCCTGAACATCCCCCACCCTCAACCTCCCCCACCATCTCTGCTCCAAGTGTGCAAGCACATATACACTTTATATAAACAGTTTTTATATACTATTTCTTATTTATAAATACATTGTTTCAGTGTTTTCCTTAGAAAACTAGTGATCTACTGCAGTTAGCCTCAAAAATACTCTATTTTCTCTTACAGTAAGAGCATAGGAAGATACTATTTAGTCAAATTGGGACAGGAAATGGCGGACGTTTCTGCTGCTGTCTCTCCTACCATATTATGGCCTATTTTATTCATTCTAGAGTATATATCATGTTTCTGTGTTAATTATATTGTTTCTTATGTCATATTAGATGAATTGTGATAGATAAATAAGCCATACAGTTGATAACAGCATCATATTCAAGTATTTTTTCTTGTCTCCAGAGTGCAGGAATGGATTAATGGCTTTTCAATTAATTTAAATGAGGAAGATTGATATACAGTACGAGTAAATTGAATTATGAGTTAGGTCACGGAATGGATTAAACTCATAAGTCAAGGTTCCACTGTACTCTTATATGTATTCACTTTGAACTGATTTACACATCATCCCAAACTCGTGTACAATAAAATGGTTTGGCAATGTAGTGATATACTATAGTAGCTACTTTAACATGACAGTAAAGGTAGAGTAGTACCTACCTGTAGTAGCTACCTTAACATGACAACAAAGTTTAGCGTATCCCTAAAAATAAATATTAGTGTTATTGGTACAGATAGTGCGGTACGATCGTGGTCATGAACCTCTTTGGGTATCTTCAAGCAACAAGCCTGCTGATATACCACCATGCCCATCTTGTGGACAACCCAGACAGTTTGAGTTCCAGGTAAAAAAAAAATTTGTGGTGAAAATTTATAAGCCTAATTTTAACAATTGTTGTCTTTATTATAGTGTAATTCACATTGTATAGTAGCAAAAATATGCTCTTGAGAGGTAAGTAAATTGTATTTCTATATTTATTTTATTAGCACACTGGCCTATTCCCACTAAGGCAGGGTGGCCAAAAAAGAAAAACTCCCACCACCACTCACTCCATCACTGTCTTGCCAGAAGGGTGCTTTACACTACAGTTTTTAAACTGCAACATTAACACCCCTCCTTCAGAGTGCAGGCACTGTACTTCCCATCTCCAGGACTCGAGTCCGGTCTACCGGTTTCCCTGAATCCCTTCATAAATGTTACTTTGCTCACACTCCAACAGCACGTCAAATATTAAAAACCATTTGTCTCCATTCACTCCTATCAAACATGCTCACTCATGCCCGCTGGAAGTTCAAGCCCCTCACACAAAACCTCCTTTACCCCCTCCCTCCAACTTTTCATAGGCCGACCCCTACCCCGCCTTCCTTCCACTACAGACTGATACACTCTTGAAGTCATTCTGTTTTGTTCCATTCTCTCTCCATGTCCGAACTACCTTAACAAAACAACCCTTCCTCAGCCCTCTGGACAACAGTTTTGGCAATCCCGCACCTCCTCCTAACTTCCAAACTACAAATTCTCTGCATTATATTCACACCACACATTGCCCTCAGACATGACATCTCTACTGCCTCCAGCCTTCTCCTCGCTGCAACATTCACCCATGCTTCCCACTCATATAAGAGCGTTGGTAAAACTATACTCTCATACATTCCCCTCTTTGCCTCCAAGGACAAAGTTCTTTGTCTCCACAGACTCCTAAGTGCACCGCTCACCCTTTTCCCCTCATCAATTCTATGATTCACCTCATCTTTCATAGACCCATCCGCTGACACGTCCACTCCCAAATATCTGAATACATTCACCTCCTCCATACTCTCTCCCTCCAATCTGATATCCAATCTTTCATCACCTAATCTTTTTATCCTCATAACCTTACTATTTCCTGTATTCACTTTTAATTTTCATCTTTTACATACCCTACCAAATTCATCCACCAACCTCTGCAACTTCTCTTCAGAATCTCCCAAGAGCACAGTGTCATCAGCAAAGAGCAACTGTGACAACTCCCACTTTGTGTGATTCTTTATCTTTTAACTCCATGCCTCTTGCCAGGGCCCTCGCATTTACTTCTCTTACAACCCCATCTATAAATATATTAAACAGCCACGGTGACATCACACATCCTTGTATAAGGCCTACTTTTACTCGGAAATAATCTCCCTCTTTCCTACATACTCTAACTTGAGCCTCACTATCCTCGTAAAAACTTTTCACTGCTTTCAGTAACTTACCTCCTATACCATACACCTGCAACATCTGCCACATTGCCCCCTATCCACCCTGTCAAACGCCTTTTCCAAATCCATAAATGCCACAAAAACCTCTTTAGCCTTATCTAAATACTGTTCACTTATGTTTCACTGTAAACACCTGGTCCACACACCCCCTACCTTTCCTAAAGCCTCCTTGTTCATTTGCTATCCTATTCTCCGTCTTACTCTTAACCCTTTGACTGTCGCAACCCCCAATCCTGAGGTGTCTCCTGGTGTCGCAAAATTTAAAAAAAAAAATTATTTTTTCTTATGAAATGATAGAGAATCTTTTCCCGATTGTAATGACAAAAAAAAAAAGAAATTTGATGGAAAACTGGCGGAATTATGCTCTCGCGAAGTTAGCGACCTCGGCGCTGTTTACAAATCGGCTATTTCGCCCTTTTTGCGCCCTATTTTCGGCTAATTCCATTGTTCCAGTCGCCCAAACTCATAGCTATTTCTTTAGAACTCCATTTTTTCTATCGATTGAGTACAAGAAACTGCCCATTTACCGATTTCAACTACCTAATAATGTGGTCAGAAATTTGCAATTTGGCCAATTTCACAAAAACTAAAAAATATGACAATTTCAAAATAAGGTCCAGAATGAACAATGCAGACATTCCTGGCTCTAAAATAACATTTTCTTTGCTCATCAGTCATGTCTCCAGGCCCCTCTATTACTCTTGCTTTCTATTTTGAATTTTTATTCAAACAAAAAATAGAATACTTACTATTATGCAGACTACTGCAATACTGTAATAATTGTATAAATAACATCAACCCATTCATGACTGTATATTAGAATGGCTAGTTGGACATTTATTGGACAATGGCATCATTTGTTTACTTTTGAACATTGGCAAAAATCAAACATTTCCCCTAATTTGAGCTCCATTTCTAGGTTCTTTTTATAGTAAAATCAATCAAAATCACCTCTATTTCTATAATATGTTTTCCATTCTATCAAATGAGACCAAGAAAACGAGAATACAACCATAAATACTATACGAAAATAGACCACAAAGTCAGCATTTTAATTAAAAAAACGGTCAGAGTTTTTTTTTCTCATTATGCACTGCGTGCTCCAGGATTTTTTTTTATATGGTGCACACTGACCACACAGACCCATTCTCTCACATGTGGACCTACCAGCTTTCTCCTGCTTGATTTGAAGCCGCTAGAATTTATGAGTATATATACGTCAAACACGGTACCTCATAAGACGTATATATACGGCTGCGACAGTTAAAGGGTTAATTCTTTCAATAATAACTCTACCATACACTTTACCAGGTATACTCAACAGACTGATCCCCTATAATTTTTGCACTCTCTTTTGTCCCCTTTGCTGCCGCTGAGAGGCAGCGGCAGCAGCAACCTCCAAGCTCCGTACTTTTCTCCAACTATCAGAGCCACCAATGCTCCTATGATGATCTAGTTACAAGCAAAACTGCACTACCCAACGTAGCACCCAGAATGACCAAAGATTACCAACAGTGAAACCTACAAATCGAAAATATTAGAGATCAAAGGAAGACTGCCCACAAACCGAAAGCAACACCCAGCTGCCAGCCGAACAATGTAACCCCAAGCTTTGTATAACTTCAACTTCTTCTTAACTACAACAATTCCTGTAGTATTATGAGGTGCAATCTAAGAGGAAACAGCACCAAGGCCAGCAAGAAAACACTGAAAAATCAACTATTCAACAAGTGTAGCCAGGAGGACGCCGGCCCTAGCAACCACCCCTCTCACCACCGCTCAAGGCGACACCACAACAATAACAACAAATATGGCTGCCACCAGCCCATCCTCCCCTCTCTTCCCCGGATTCAACCTACCAAGTAGTCTCTCAGGTATGACCAACGATCCAGATACCCTAAAGACATGCATCTCCACCTTAGTTATTGAAAATATGAATCTTCGAGAGACACTAACAAAACAAGACACCAGGATGACACAACTCGAGAACAAAATCCTCAGTCTTGAACAAAAGTTATCAACACCAGGAATGACTAACTGTGACAAGACCATCCAAGCAGTCATAGATAGCCATACCCAACAAATAATATCTCTTATAATACAAAGGTTGAAGAAGCAGTAAAAGAGTGGAAGAACAACTTAGATAACCAGTTCAGTGACTACTTTGCTCTCCAAGAAGATAAAACTGAGCAAGATAAACTATCGGACGCAGTAATAGTTAACAGTCCACTTTTTCCCAGTGATATGAACCAAACAAACAGTAAAGAAATTACTCTGCAGATCATAAAGGACCAAACAAGTGTTATTGTACCAGAGTCAGAAATAAAAGAAGCCAGGTTACTAGGATCCCATGGTAGAAAAAGTGTTATGCTTAGATTCCACTCACATGACAGGAAAAAAGACTTAATTATTGCATCTATTAAAGCAAAGAAAGAGGTATACATAAACGAGTGTCTTACCAAAAAACGTCAGAACCTCCTGTATAGAGTCGGAAAACTTAAGCGGGAGAATAATGACACAATACACCAATGCTTCACACGGGATGGGAAAATTCTAGTTAGGAAAACAAATGTAGGTCAACTGTACACAATCACGAATGAGAATGATCTATCACGATTTCTCAGGGATACTGATCTTACAGAGAATAACTAAATGTCCAACCTAAAAGCCTACGTAATGTAGTGTATGTTTTGCTCCATTATTGTTCAAATCTTGTAGTACAATCTCTTAGTAATTAAATAATCAACTACCTCATTTTGTGATTTTACTAGTAAGCATAAGTCACCTTATCTAATTTTCTTATTTACTATTGTTTGCTTAAATATTAGCTGAATCGATGCTTTCTCTGTCCATATTACTACCTATTTTTTTAAATACTATCAATTGATATTACTTACTAAAATTAATAATTACCATTTTTACTATCAATTTACTCTTAACATTTTTGACATCATTTAATAACCATTACTCGTCTAATTACCTTAACCAGTTTTAATACCACATTTACTATCTTAGAGTACTCTTAATTACCTTGTACTGCCAAATAACCTCAAGTATAACTACCAGTGCAATTTTGAAAGAAATAAACATTACTTTTTCACTTATTTTGTAATCATTATTACTTACTAAAATTTTATTAAACACCATATTTACTACCAGTCAATTTTACTTTTGTACATTAATCATTATTTTATACTTCCCATAATATTTTGTTGCCAAATTTCCAAGTTTGTATATTCAACTCCAACCTTTATATTATCCTTTGTACCTGTGCACTTGTGTGCCTCTGTACCTGTGTACCTGTCTACCATCTTACTATCATATTATAACCAAGACATTGCCATTGTTATTTTTTACTTATTATTCTTTTGGTACTTTAATTTGTGAATTTTATTTTGTCAATTTAAATCTAGTTATACTCTTGATCTTGTCAACAACCTATACCAGACCCTAGTGCAATTGCAAGTACCATTTCAATTTGTATTTTTATATTGTAAGTTTATATTATAAGTCCTATTCTAAGATTGTTTTCATATCTTAGTGACTATATTGTGTGTGCAATTAGTGTATATTTCAATTATATTATTGTTCAAGGCCCTTAACT